GCTCAATATTCAATTCGACAACGATCATTAAAAGTCATTTACTCTACTATCTTGCAGAGAGAGAGACAATTTTTGAAAATTACTCATTATGTTAGCCAGAACTTCTGCTTTGTGATTTTATTTTTGAGTTACGACCCGATTCTAAATTACAATTTAATACCTAATATGCAGGTCAAATTAACATAAACATTATAATATCGGTATGCTAGTGTGGGAGAACATACTGTACGACTGTACACAATAAAATTAAGAGAAATTTCGAAGTAATATATGCAATGCTGCTTAAAAAAGAGAATTTATGGAGCACAATAACAAGAACTAATGGAAAACTGTATGCATAAAAAAGGAGGAGGAGACGGTATATGGCGCAGTTAAATGAGACTAACTTTTACAATTACAGAAACATTCAATCATAATTGCCAGATTTGTAATGACATAGATGAATATAAGTTGACTACCACAAGTAGCATATAGGATTTGAACCTGAACCTCGGAATGGTCCATTACTATTTAGAATAGTGTACTCGTTATTGTCAGTGGTGTAGACTATGTCTCCTAAAGTTGATTTGATGTCATTTGAATAAAAATCGACTTTTTGCAATAAGTGACAAACCTAAACTAGCTGTGACTCGCAGCTCTCTGAGCGCTTTAGTTGCTCCACAATTTTTCCCATTAACGCAGTAGCCAACTTGCTGAATTTTATACCATCCATTCCCAACAAGTCCATTGACTACTGCCTGGTCAGTAGTCATCTTTTGAGTGTCTGTATCAATGGATTGGGGTGCCCTTTTCTCAAAAACATCCAAATTTAAAGATAACGCTTACTTCCTTTAGAGTTAAGAGTTGCGAAAAGAGGAACTATGTGGGCGCACTGCCGAACGATCTCAGCTCTTTTTTTGATTATTTTGTCTACAGTGATCATTCTTCCCGGAGAAGCTGAAAAATAACATTTGGCTTTTGTTAACAAGTTAGAGTATGACTTACGTTCTTGATAAAATCCATTTGAAAGGAAAGTTGAAATTGGCTGGATTTCGGTATGAAATCGATGCCTATCATCCTTCCTGCTGTAGAAGCGTTGAAGAGGTGACACGTATTGTATAAACCAGTTCTAAATAGAGAACTCAAGATGTTCCCTAGGATTTATTTCTATATTCTCGAATCAGTCGCTTTTGTTAATTTTGTTATCATCTTATTGCTACTATTGTTATTATTATCCTTTTTAAATTGAATGTTACGGATTCGCTCTGCTAGCAGATGAATAAGCTTCAAAACAACCTACGTTATTTTGAGGGCCTTTGCCATTCGTAGGTCTGAAAATGACAGAATTTAATCTATACACGCTAGAAAATTCTATGTACCTTGTATTCAGTAAACTTGAAGATCACGTACTTATTGTTATCTTTTCCTCTATTTCCCTCCTTAACGGCTTGTCCTTCATCAGAGTCCCCTCTTCCGCCAGGCCGACCGTTACCACCTCGGCCACCTCCACCTCTTCCTCCAAAACCCCCACGTCCTCCACCACGATCTCCACCATCTCTTCCTTCAAAGTCTCCACGGTCTCCACTATCTCTTCGTCCAATGTCTCCACGGTCTCCACGTCCACCACTTCTTCCTCCAAAGTTAGGGTGCCCATTGCCAACTGGTCCAAAGCCGCTTAACTCGCCTCTACCAGCCTCTTTTATCTAGAAAAAATAAAATGATATTTATTAAAAACCAGTCAAAACGATTAGACAACAAGCAACAATCTATTAGTTCTTACCCCACGCTCCCAGTTTAACCCAGGAGGGCCTAGACTGCGTACGGTAGCGGCAACGACTGAAATATTTATTCATTGCGGTAATTTATCAAAAGACAACACCTACCCAACAAAACAAAGAAACACTTGAAATTCCCGCACATTTCAAAAATGTGCGAATGTTAGGTTCGAAGCGCTTGTGAAACGGTAGCTTAATTGGAATTTTGCGTACAAATTTGTCAATTTATATAGCGACATTAAACAGCATGACCTTCCAAAATGTTTCCTCTGTCTAATACTTTGACCTTGCTACACTTTAAATTCAACCTAATGTGATAACGCTGGCCTTTGTAATTAAAACAAAACCTTTGAACTGTTGAAATTCATAATTTAGCTGGAACTTTCTAGATGATGCGGTGAATGGAAAAGAAGTTCTAACAGATTCTGCTCGGTTTCATCCTTTTAGCAATCTTGCTAAACAATTGTTTCCTATTCTTGAAGGTCCCGAGGTCTAACATGTTTAACCGGGTAGCTATCGATCCAAATTTTCTTGCCAGTTCCACAGCGATGTGTATCTGTGGAAAGGCCGATCACTCATCAATATTTGACCTCTACTTATTTACCATAAATATTCCATGCAAATAAAATTTGGGGATAAAAGAGAACTTTTAAAACAACTATACGGTTTTTGCAATACACAAGTGACCGATTTCTTGTCTTGTAAAACAATATATAATAAGCTTATACGAAATTGATCACTTCGAGGATTGGCTGCGCGATTATCGACGATCTACGCAATCTATGGTTCCACTTTCGCAGAGAAATTACAAAGTTGGGGACGTGCAAAAAAATCCGGAGAAATTGAAAGAGTGGAATTCTAGCTTTTTGGAAAGAGGTTTTGTAAAACTAAACATTTGAAAAACTTCTATTAACCGTTTACATACTATATTCCAAAAAACTCCTTTCTGCGGTTGCTCAGAATACAACAAACTGACTGCTTTTCGATTTTTTTTCCTTTTCATACATTACTCGAAGTACTTGTGAAATTAGAACATTTCCTTTAGAGTATTACTTGTCAGATTGTAGAATGAATAAACCAAATATATGATTACTAAGATGAAAGCTTAGGATATCCTTTATTCGACTCTCCTTTTATCTTAACAGATTAAAATTTGTCCAAGAATAGCTCATATCAATAAACTAAGGGTTACAACGTGTGCAATTGTTGATAAGGCCTAAATTCATCCCAACATTTGCTCAAATAAGCCTGAATTGAAAATTAACGAATACATATAATATCAGCAAACGTAGTAAGAACAGTACAACCACAACATATGGTTATCTTCATTGGATGTATATCATTTTCAATTGCTAAATGGTTTTTTTGCTGTAAAAATCATTATCACAAACAAATGCACGAAATCTTCACGCGTTTAAGATAGAGAGCTGGTATGTGCAGAAAAATTGGGGATCTGCTGAGAAACTGAAATCTGAGCAATAGATTCACGCTCGTCACAAATGCTGTTCAGACGAATGCACCCCTATTGTAGATTTTAGGCAGTTTTTCGTGTCAGTTCATTCAACTTTTTCATTCATTGGATCAAACTGACTGCGCAAGTCAAAACAGCCCTTTTCTTAAAGCTTGCCCAGTAATCGCTTTTTCTGTAGATGACTAAGAATAATGGAAGTAAATCAATTAATCTTCAACAATACAAGTTCTGCCACAGATACAAAACCAGCAACAATACATAAAGCACTGTCAATAGGTGGGAAAAAAACATCTAACTTCTGCTGCTGAAATATTTCTCCAATAAGCTCAATATACACATATTTCTTGAAAATTACTTGCATGATTTAGAGTATTGTTTTTTTTTTATTGAGCTAAGTGACTGAAGGCATGCATAGGTAAGATAAGATAAGACATTACTCCCTCTTTTGTTCTTAGGTGCGGATTATTTATTGTATAATATTTTCATTTGAGATCTATTGCGTTATATCCATCTGATCAAATTTTCTTAAAGAAAACTTTTTTCTTTTAAGATTCTACCCCAATGAACTGCCTGGATGAAAGGGTGGATTTTTATTATTTATTAAAATAGCCATAAAATGAAATCAAAACATAGGCGGTACATATCCACTGGTTAGTGGGAACAGTGCATAAGATCTGCGGTCAGTATATCCTACTCCTTGTCGACCAATTAAGTATCTTGACGAGCGTGGATTGAATTGCCGTTCACCTACAATCGTGGATATTCATTGATTTCTTTGAAAATACTAGAAAGTTCTAGAAACAAACCCCTATGACTATACATATGATAAGCAAGTTGACGGCTATCGGCATAACTTTTTGAACAATATTCACAGATGTAAGGCTTGGAACGAACGTCCGAATAGACCTATTAATGAAATAGTCTATGCATAGAAAGAGGTGTTGCGATTTGAATCAACAAACCTTCATAGGATGTTTCGGCTCATACCCTTCTTCTACAAAAGCCGGTGTAGGCATATCTTGGAGCAGAGCAACACGACTGGTCGACGGATGGACGAGCACTGGGGTTCCATACAGTTCCTAAAATTTCATAGGTCATATCAAGCAATCATTGTAAGATTTCGCAAACCTTGATTTCTTTCTCTTCTTTGATGTCTTCCGGATGCTTATGGTACAACATCTCCGTATATGAGAAGAAAGTACGACCGCACTCGCATTTGTAACCCTTTACATCTGAAAATGGGTTAACGTTCTATTAGGATTCAACTAGGCTATCACTTCGTTTGCTTATCGCGAGACTGGAACATTTTCAACATGCTAAGAGACAACTGCTTCAAAGAAATTGGATACTTCTCCTTGAAGAAAGCAGGAGAAGATGCGCGAAGAT